TGGGATGGCTCCAGCCTTATTCTTAGGATAGAGCTACAAATGAGCTTCTAAAAGTTATTTTTGAGGGGCTGTGGGATGGAAACAAGATGGTATCAACTTTTTTAGACAATGTATTCCTGAAGTAACAGCCATCTCAGTTCTTTTGTGCGCCAGATGTTGTTGTTTCTTTCTTCCAGAGTACTGTCAAAGTCCTTTAGTCATTAAGAATACCTTGCTGCTGTTTTCACAAGATACTAGGACCCATCTCCATAGTTGGCGGGAAATTGTCACCTCTAAAATGATTCTGGTCTTTTTTTTCTACAATGGGAGAAAAGTTTGTTTTGTGTCTTATTTTCTGAACAGGGCTGACATGCAGTGATACAGTTAGAGGCTTCCCTAAGCTAAACTTATACCCATTAGAATGCTGGCCTCTTGTCTTCTGATAAAATAATAATAATTGGTAGCTTCCTGCTTTTGGGATATATCTGTAGTTGGGGTATATTTTGTTGGGGCCGTGACCAAGCTATTGCTCCTTGAATAGAAGAGGCTTCTCTGTGGACCTTATGACAGTGTTTGCGCTGAGGGAACAATACCTGGGAGCACAGGAATTAGTTTTCTGGCAGTTAGTTATTTGCCATTATTAAAAGTGGCAATTTATTAAAGTTTGAAATGTCAAGTGGAGAAATAATTCCTTAAGAATGGGCAAGCTGGTAAACCAGATTAGAGTAGCATAATACATTTTTGATTTGTCACACAGATTGATCATATTGTACATAGATCTGGATTTCATAGATGGCATTAGTTGTGCACATGGGCTGGCATACTGAACTGTCTTTCCACCTTGATGAGAGATAAAATATTGTGTGTGTGTGTGTGTGTGTGTTTTCCCAAGGGATAGGTTGATTTCCCAGAAAGTAATCGCTTGCATCATATCCCTTTCATTTTGCACCCCTTTCACTCCTCATCCTTCCCTGCTAGTGCTAACACTGGAGCTAGAAAAAGGTATTGTTTTGATCACCAACTCTGAACTTCCCAGCTAGTGGTGCCACAGTTATAGTCCAAGGA